TTCAATGCCTCTGGGCCCCAGTTCCCTCATCTGTAAAGTTAGTATATCAGACTAGAAAGCTTCTAGAGGCTCTTCCAATTCTATGATTATTTCTTGTCTTTGTATTCCTAGTATCTTACTCAGTGCTTGTGTATAGTAGGCACTTAATAAAAATGTTCATTGAATTGAATCAAATGACAAGATAAGACCCCAGGTCAAGAATATCTGCCACATGTCTAACAATAAGTGTATAAATAGGTCAACTATATAATAGACGTTTTCATAGTAGGCTCTGTTTTGGCTCTAAGACACCCAAGTAGGGTTAAGGAGTTAAGCAGCAGGTCTAGGATCCAAATCCAGGTTGACTGACTCCAAACCCAGAAGTTTTTCTACTATACCATGTGGTTTATTAATCACTAACAATGTGCAAGGTGCTATGTTAAATTCTAGGGCTACATAGATCAACCATATAGTCTCTGTCCGCAAGAAACTTTCAGTCCTGATGAGTGTGGGAGTGTGGTATGTATGGGAGAATAGTTTGTGAGTGGGGCAAAGGAGGAATCCAAAGTGTGCTAGGAAAAATTCGAGAAGAGAGAAATGACTTTGAACTGTGGGAGGGAAGAAAGCGACCTTTAGAAAATAAAGAAGGATTTTAAAAAGCTAAGATGAGGAGGGAGGATGCTCCAGGCATGAGGGATTGCTTGTGTGAATGCATAGGAATGGAAGAAGGTAGGGGAATCAGAATCATAGATTGAGAGCTGGAAGAGATCTGAGAAGTCATTTAGTCTAATCTCTTCATTTTAGAAGCCAAGTGACTTGCTTGAGGTCACAGGGATCATACATACATACATACATACATACATACATACATACATATATACATCTAACGCCCTCATACCCTCTTAGCCTCTCTTGCCTCCAATCCATCCATCTAGATCCTCTTAGGCAGGGCCCTCTCCTAGCTACTCTCTTCACTGATAATATCTTCCTTCTACTCAAGATGTATAGCATCCACAAGTTTTCTCAGCCTCAGCCTCATGTGCCTCAAACCATTCTAACATCATTGACCCTTCCCATTCTTCTTTTACCAAGTCCATTAGGACCTCCATTTATAAGACTGATGATGGGTAACAGGAATAACCTCTACCAGATAAACTGACATTGTCTTTTCAGCCCTTTTCTAGGTGTTGTAGTCTCGGGATCTCCCTATAGTTCCAATCTTCTTATACTCTATTCCCTTCTGTGAACTCTATACTCCAACCCTACTGGCCTATTTGCTATTCTTCCCACATGACACTCCATATCCTGATCCCTTGCTCGCTATTCTCCTATGTCTAGAATGCTCTCCCTTCCAATATCCTACTCACAGACTACTTTAACACACAGCTCAATGATCACTTCCTCCAACAGGCCTTTCCTAGTGCCTCGGTGGGGATCCAGTGCCATTGTCCTCTCAGTGTTACCCCCCTTCTTTTTTTTGTATTTACCTTGTGCATTCTGATTTAAATATGTTGTCTTACTTCTCTTCTTTCCATCCCCATTAGGATGTAAGCTTCTTGAGAGGAGGAACTATTTTTGCTTTATCTTTGAATCCTCAGCATTTAGCATAGTGCTCAACACATAGAAAACACTTAATAAATGCTTGTTGCTTGACTGATTTGACCTGTATTTAAAATTGTACTGCAATAAATATATTTTTCCACTGTAATTACTATATACCTATATATATATACATATATATGTATATATAAAATTTGCAGACCTGTGATTTCATCAGTGATGGGAACTCTTAGTGTAGAATCTCCCTCCAATGATTCAGACTGGCAACCAATCTATAGCTTAGTCTTAGAAAGAGCTGCCTGAAGTTAGACATGGGGATGCACACCTGTAGATCCTGCTCTTGGTGAGGCTGGGTCTGGTGGATCATTTGAGCTCAGGAGTTTTCATCTGCCATGGAACTAAAGCTGATCAGGTGTCTGAACTGAGTCTGGTACCAGCATGGGGAGTGCCCTGGAGCAGGGGACCACCAGGCTGCTTAAGGAGGGTTAAATGGAGCAGGTTAAAGTTTCTGTGCTAGTCAAGAATGGGACAAGGCCCATAAGTGGTGGTTGTATTTTAAACCAGGGTGAGATAGAGAGACCCAGTTGGTAAGGGAAAAGAAGGGAAGAGGAGCAGCTAGGTGGCGCAGTGGATAGAGCACCGGCCCTGAAGTCAGGAGGACCTGAGTTCAAATCCGGCCTCAGACCAAACACTTGACACATACTAGCTGTGTGACCATGGGCAAGTCACTTAACCCTGATTGCCTCACTTAAAAAA